AAGTAGCGCAATTTGTGAATATTCTGTTGTAAATATTCTTGATCTTTGTAAACGTAAACGATAAAAATCAACGATGGACGATGGGATGAATAAGTCATCGAAAGTGGGTTTATTTCGCTTTCACACTTGACTAAATAGAATTCAATATCGTTATTCGTACACGCGATACTCTTAATTTTGTTATATAGATAAAGTTATTGGTGAAGCAATGAAATTCAAAGTGAAATAAATTATCGAATGTTGGATGTATTTTATGGAGATTCTCCGATTTATATTGTTAATTTTTTTCATTTGCATCTTTAATGAAGTATAAAATGGGCCGTCTCGTATCGATTTACCCTCCCTCCCGCAATCAACGTAATTTCCACTTTATCATTCGATAACATTTTCAATTTTACTCGTAATAAAGACTAATTAAATAAAATAAAAATCATAAATTGAGAAATAAATTACGGTGGATGATCCGCGCTCCTGTTCTCCACTCTCCTGTTTTCAATAACGAATCGTACGTTTCACGCTAAACCGTTCGGTTTTATCTTTGACAAGATTCTCGATAAATTTATCGGTAAAGTAAATGATTATAATTGAATTGAGAAATAAATCGGTGATTAGAGATAAGTCTTTAACCGACTTTTTTGCTCGTTATCATTTTCTCTTGCACAACGAAACGATCACTTCGATTATTATAAAGTATATAAAATATGTAAAAAAAAATCGATCGCGATTGTTCGTTTAATAAACATTTACAATTTTACCAGAACCGTATTTACGTAATTTTCGTGCAGCTAAGAAGATGCCCGCTCGATGATTCGCGCGGATTCCTGCACTTGGCATAGAAAACACAGATGGAATTTCGAGGGACAACTGCATGAGTCAAAGTTGGCTCGATTTAAAGTTGTCGAGCAAGAAAGTTGTCGAGCCCGTTTTGCCACGGTTCGTGAATTATTTTGGTCGTGGCTCTCCTCAGAGTGCAGGACAGATTTACAGATGTAATTGGCAGCGGGTAAATCGCTCGTGTCGTTCTGATTCCAATCTCGTTCCTTCGAGACATTGAACTCGAATCGATAAATCTTCCCCTGTTTTCGAGGCAACTGTTTACATAACAAGTGGTAGAATTCGGGTAAAATTATCGAGAAATATCGAAGAAAAGTTGTGAACGAGGAGAAATCGAAAATATTTGAGATTGACGATAAAAAATTTTAAATGCGAAAAAAGAAATTTGTTTTAATTATAAAAGTACGAGATAACGAAATAAGAAAAAATTTTCAAGAGAAAAATATTCGTTGCGATTAAAAGTGTAAAATAATTAAAAAGAAAAAAACAAATAACAATTTGAATAGAATATTTAAATAATTAAGAGGAAATAAATTAACAGCAATAAAACTTCGAGGAATAAAGCTTGGAGATATTTTAACTTCTCTGAATGCTTCCTTGAAAATTATTGTATCGCATTGTCAAACAACGCGAAGATTTTATTTTGAACGATGATGTCAAACATTATTCAATGTTGTGAAGAATATTATGAAAATTGAATATGACAGAAGTGTAAAGAAAATATCGAATCTTTATAACTCTTTACTATTATAACAGTTTCTTACTTATTATCACTTGTTTATTTATTGTATATTTTAACCACGATTACTTACATAATCTCTAAATGGCGCAACGTCGTACATGCACCTATGCATAAAAATAAAAATTAAATAAACTCTTATTCCTCTCATATTCCACTGACAAATTTCGCTTTTATCCTTTACGAATGTCTGCATTCACATCCCCTCATTTAAAGGTACAGAATTTATAAGTGTAGAAATAACGTAACGAAATAATAACATTAAAATTAATATCGAAAGTGTAATTCGAGCAAAATTTTTCTCGTTTCGAAAATCAATAGATACATTGGTGTTGATATACGAAAGATGTTAACACATGTGTTTCGCTATAATTTCTCGATTGTCTCCCCCAACCATAAGGAATCTGGGGTAACGACGAGGCACGCTCGTCGAGAAGGTCGCGCGCGTTTCGTCGCGCAATCCGCTCGACGTTTCTAATCTATTTCGAGCCGTAGGTAGGTTTCTAGTTACTAACAGTCTTTCTCGGGCGTGCACACTATGCGGAACGACGCTCGATCACGTGCGAAAAAATCATTTGCTTCGTGATCTCTCGTTTGCAAATTTTACCTCACGATCGAAGAGCAATAATTGTGATTAACGGGTTAAAATCCCGTAATTTGGCCTTTCAGCATATTTTCAGCACGTGCTGAAACAAGTCGATGGTAGAATCGCAAATGTTTGCGCGAGGCTGAGCATAGTTTAAAGTTGGAGATAGATCAGTCTTTTAAAGGGGGTGAGTTTTAAACTTGTACAATCGATACAACCTGATTTGTATTTGTAGAAACACCGCTATTTAAACATTCAATCATCTTCTATCTTCCATATCTTCCAATTAAAAAATCAACTTCGGAAATTTCTTCTCAAACGAAAAAAAAAAAAAAGAATATGGAATATTCTTCGATCGATCACAATTTCTCTCCAACGCCACATCTTGCTTAGGCAGACAGAGGAAAGGGAAAGAAAAAGATCCAAGAGATACGAATTCCAAAATATTTATCTTTCCAAGAGATGGAAGAAAAGCAACAACTCTAAAACCAGAAGATCCAAATATTCTTCCGCATAGCACGGTTAGAACAACACTCCATTTCCTCGTCACATCCGCCGACCTTCGTCCCACGCTGATTCGCGTTGATGTTGACGTTATTAGCGACGTCAGTCGTCGAGCAAGATCTTCCCTTTCGAAGTTCCATTGGCCAGGCGCCAAAATGCTTTGCGGAAAATCCCGAGGAGGGAGAGGAGGGTCGCGACGAAAATCTGGTTTCGAATGATTTCATCCTCTCGCGATTCACGCGCGCGTAGTTCGCGGCCTTTAATTACGACGCCCACGCTGTTTCCGCCAGTTGCACGCGATTTCCGGGTCGAGTAATCGCCGATATTGCTCGATTTTTTCCTTTTTTTTTTCTTTTTTCATATTTCGAGAAGCTTTAGGCGTGGAATTTATGCTAAAATATTGGAAATTTTAAAAGCGAGAGATTTTGTGGATTTTTGGAGAGCAATTAGATTTATGAAGAAAGGATTGACGAGTAGTTTTAGAACAATGAACTTTTGTGATTTTGACACAAGGGAATCTTGGACCAGGAGAATTAGGGATCGTAGATTTTTCTGATTTAGATTAAAAATGATTTTAATTTAATTTATTCGAGAATACGATTGTTTTATTTCTCGATCGAGGTCTTATAGAACGAGAGAATGGAGGGAGATTAGGGATAATTTAGAGAGTTCATTTATCATTTTCGAACATCAAGCGAGGTATTGGAATAAAAAAGAGGGAAATTGGTTTCGATTTGATGGAGAGATCTGCATCTCGATTTATTCCTGATCCGAAGAAAGTTTCTTGATCTGTTTAAAATTTTATTATCGAAATTCGACATTAATTTCGCCTTGCCATTTACTTTTTTGTTTATCTTCGAATGCACTGGATTATATTTAATACAATATTGACGTGATAAATTAATAAATATTGATGCATCATGCTGCGGTGTTATCAATTAGATAATAACAATTACGTGGAAGGATTAATTCATTAGAAAACAGGCTGCCGGTTAATTAATCTCTTTGCGAGAAATGATCGTCAAACGTTTATTATCGTTACCTACGATTTCAAATAAATTTGAGAGAGAATTGAAAATCGATTTCATTGACGACGACGAAATTTCATTCATCTCGGACTCAAGGATTAAAATGATTAAGTAAATCGATTAGAACGTTTCTCGCTTCTCTAAACATTTACCCTCTGTTAATTAAATTTAAAATTAAGTTTATATATTTTTCATTCACTCTCATTATTTCTAAAGTATTAGCTAATACGATCTAACTAACAAAAATTTGTCTTCTATTCTCGATCTCTCGTTTCCTCTCCACGAGCAATGCCATGAAAGTACAAAGAATAACTGTAAAAGAAAAATTGTTCTTATTTTCACTTTCAAAAACGAAAAAGAAAAAAAAAGGGATGTGCATTTTGGAGGAGAAAATTTTTAAACGCACGAGCTTATTATCACGGGTGTGGATACAGAGGGGGTTGGTGGAGGAGGATCATGCAATTTGGCGGCACAGCTCGCGGCAATATTTCCCGAGTTGGCCGAACGTGACTCTTGGAGGTGGTGAAACGGAGCAACGAACGAAATAATGAAAAGACGCCAGGAAACGGCGGGATCGAGTTTCGACGATTTAATGCCTACCTGTCTCCACCACCTTCATCTTTCGTCCGATAAAACAGACCCGTTTCCAATGGTAGAACATTGAAGAGAACACTGCGATTTTTAATTCAATCTTGCCAACGCAGTTCTAGATGATAGATTTAAAATAACAAAGCGCGCTTTTTATCGCGTAATTCGAATAATTAGAGTATTCCATGGAAGTGTACAAGCCTTCCCTGTTGTTATAATGTGTTCGCTTTCTTTGGAATCGTTTTCTTCTCTCGATTACATTAAAGAATCATTCTTCTTCGCCGCATAATTCTACACCGATTTCAGGATTTTGGCTTTCAAAAAATGTGAAGGTCTCCTGCTGTAATCCTCCAGAAATGTATAGAAGCTTAAAATTCAAATAAAAAAGAGAGAGAAATACTGTGAATCCTCTGGCTGAAGGGGGATGCGAAGATACGAAGGAACGAAGGGCAACCGCTCGTGCGTGCCATTTCTCTTCCTCGTTCCATTCTTGGCTCACAAAGAATAAAAAGAATGCTGTGCGACCCAAAAGAAGGAAAAAGAAGTAAGCACAGAAAGGAATGGAACACTATTGCGAATCCTCTGGCTGTGAAGATCGGAGGAGGAGGGCGCGAAGACGCACGAAAGAATAAAAAAAAAAAAAAGGGCAACCGCTCGCGCGATCCCCGTCTACTGTCTCTGTCCCGCTCTGACCGGTCTGGAATTTTTTTTTCTGTTGCAGAGCCGAAGAAGGAAAAGACTGAACAGAGTGCAAATGGCGCGGTATCGCCGAGCGGTGAGCCGCAACCGAATCAGGGCACGGCTACGACCGGTAGCTTGGCGATCTCGGCCGCGCCCCCCAATTCAGGGGACCAGCAAAAGCCGAGCAGGCCGAACACCCTGGAAGCCAGGGTGGTGGCCAGGAGACTGATCTTGTTCGACAGTGAGTACACCAGAATATCGTGTCTGATAATAACCATCAACCTGATTTCATCTTTGTTCGATTGCTCTCTCTAGGTAGTTGAGCTCTTTCTTAACACTGTACTATTTTATTGTTTAACGAGGGGAGGAAATGATTAAGAATTCGTTAGAATTGAAAATATTTTAATTTAAAAGAGAAAGAGAGGTTCTTTAATCATTTGCACTCGAGAGGTGATCATCACTCGGATTGATGCGGTGACGATATTCATTTGTGATTTCTTTAGGATTTAGGTTAGTTATTGGAGTATCGCTTTGTGAATAAATTCTTAAGGTTTTTATATATAAATAAGAATTAAAAATTGTATCGCCTTGATATGCTTCGTTGGATGGATGGTTAAGAATATTTTGAAACTGTATCAAAGGAATTCTTATTACATGGAATACATGGAATTTTTATATGCGTTGAAAGTTTTATGCGTTTTAATTTGTGCGTTGTGAAATTATTTTATATTAGCTGTAACAAAATTCAATCTGTGAGTTGTTGGTTTCGACCGAGCGCAAAGGGTTAATTTTATTTAAGAATTCGAAGAAAATTATGATATTAACAGGGATTAATGAGGATGGTCCGTGATAAGGTAATTTACAACATTGCTGTACGTTTAACGTGCTACGTTGCGTTCGCGTATTTAGCGTGTAATGGCATTAACAAGGAACCAAGAAGTTATACTAATAGTCACAAGTCGAGTAAGGGAAGTTTCCATCACCTTCTCACAGCGAATATTCATGAATAGACTGGAGTAGGGATACTTTGAGACGATTATTAGTTAGTTATCGACGGAGTGGAAATGCAAAATGGCACATTATTACATTAATGTTGAGGGTGAGAAACTTCACGTTATATCTTGGACAATACAAAAATTGCATCTACTTCACCTTCGATAACTTTGAATGAATTTTGAATTAAAGAATAAAAGAAACATATTTTGATAGAAATTTTGTGATTGCACCGTGAAAGAATTCTTTTCGAATGCATAATTTTAATTTCCTAAAATTTAGGAACAATGATAATTTAAAACTTTCAAGAGGAACAAAATGTAAACAGCGAGGATTAATTTAGTTTCGTATTAATATTCATTTTATTATGATTAAAAAGTTTTTAATTTTCATTTAAAAAAAAAAAAAAGAAAAAAGAAAAATTCTGATCCCTGAATTTCTAACAGTGTTATTAATTATTCTCTGTTCATCGCTTGATTGCACGCCTACGTCAAATTGTGTTACATTCGTTAATTATTCCCAACGTGCTTTATACGCGTTTCGAGAACGTTCCATCCTACCATCGTGCCAACACTCCAGCGCGCATTTCTACTTGGGGCGTGCATTTTTCATTAATTTCACCCGTGAAATGGCCGAGAAGAAACTTTTTCCATTACGTAATCGGCCGACGATAAAATGGGAAACTTCAGAGAATCGAGTACGTGATCACACGTGCCTTGCGAAACATAAAACAAGATAATTTTAATAATACTGGCGAGTTATGTATGACAGCCACGTTAACAGGAAGTGGTGTATCGAGTTGAAAAAGTTGATTTAAAATAGGAAAATAGGAAATACTGGAAAATACTGAAAAATCAACCCCTTAAAAACGAAGCGAAATAATTAATAGGAATCGTAGTCGATGTAATTAATTTTGTTTGTTTTCGATATGAAGCAAATTGAAATATTTTTTTCAATTTTTTTTAATTTTGAAAACGTTTAACAAAATTTGGAATAAAAATTCAAATTTACGTCAAAGCATTTTTAGAAAAAAATCTCGTAAAATATAACAATACTTATAATTTTCTTAAATAAAAAATTCATCACTTTTATTTATTCGTCCACGATTAATTTATAATCTCTCGAATAAATATGGAAAATACGACAAAAAGAAATATAATCAACTTTCATACTATTATAATCACACGTAGTTAATCATCCCACGATTAAAACAAAGAAGGAGTAGAGAGAAAAGTTGAATGATAGAGGGATGAAAATTTTTTAGTGCTATCAGCAAACTTCCGGTCAATTTAATATCGTGATGCTTCTTTTTTTTTTTCTTTTTTTTCTACGATGAGCTATTAAATTTCAATAATATTATACGATCGAAAATCCATTGCATGCTTATTAACTTTCGTCATCGTCTATGTGTCATCGCAGATAATAATGAATTTTCGGGAAAAAAAATTTTTTCTTCGAAATATTTATAAAGCCTCTAAAGCTAACTATTATTTCAAATATTTATAATCACAGTTTCTAACTATTTATAGCCAGTTCGGATGGAGGAGGATCCGTACAATTTATTCTCAAAATATTTCTTCGTCGTGATGTTTAATTTCGACTACATTCGTTGAATATTTAAACACTGTCGCCAGTGGATCGTATGTCGCGATAAAAATGAAGAAAAATAGAATTTTTTCCGGTTTAATCCCCTGTTGTTCCTCTTTTTATATTTTTCCTATTTTTTCCGAGATTTATTTTTATAGAACGATGCGAAATTAATTATCGATCGTGATTTAATATTTCCAATAATAATTTATTTACTTATTTATTTCTTTTTTTAAGAAATCTTCTACTTTACTAATTTGAACAGATATAATAAAACAGATGATAAATAAGAATAAATAAATGAGATAATATAATACAATGGATAAATCCAAAATCCGAGATAGCACGTGTACGCGAATTTACATAAGCCAGGAACAAGTAGTAAAACATTGAAACGAGGGAAACAGGGTGCAAGTAGAAGTAATATGTTTATAGTCAGACTTGACTCGCAAGATTATGAGAAATAAGTACATGAATTCGCTTGTAAATTCCATCACAGATCGTTTCATAAATAATATTGTTTTTTTTTTTAATAAATAATTTGTGATAAAGAAATTATTTATTAAAAAAATTTATTGCAATAATTTTTTAATTTCATTCTTTTTAATTATTTATGTGTTTTTATTAAGTTCCTTGCTTTCCTTTTATAAAATTTACCTACTAGTATAGAAAATTTTCATTGATTTAAACGCTACTCTCAAAGAAACTATACCACTTATGGGATCATCTCGTTGTAATAATATTATTTTTTCTAAGTACCTAAGAGGGAAGATATTTTAAAAACTTTTCTCTTACAAAAGATTTTTCTGTATACTCAAATAAGACAAATGTAAGTAAATATTTACCATTAATATTCTCTTAAACAACAATTTTTTTTAATTTAATTTTTATAGAAATATACTTTCATATTTAACACGATTTCTCATTTCCTAGTTTAATTTCTTATTATTTTCAATTTTATAAAAATTTGAACAAATTCTAAAATACTTATTATAATCCCTAATTTAATAAACAAATGACAATTTAAGTCAAATGTTCTTGCAATAAAAATTTCGTCTCTAATGATCCACACCAAGGATTAAAATATCAACCTTGTATTTTTTTTTTTTTTTTTTTTTTTTTTTTTATTGATGAGAAAAGCAAAATATCGAAACAAAGCAAAGAAATCCTCGACGAGATTTTGGACGAACTTTTTAGTAAAATAAAAATCAAAAAAAAATAAATAAATAAATAAAAAGACGGAAATCTAGATTTTCGAACGGATACGGAAGTTTTCGTCGGTTCGAATTTTCCCTGTCAAGCTGCCGGCGAAACGATAAACTTTCGTGTGCCGTCGGCTTCCGCCCCGCAAATCGTCTTTAAAACTCTCGTTTACCTTCGAAACTTCAAAGTTCGCTTTTATCTTCGACTCGTCCCCGCCACCTTTATCCCCGTTCCCTTGTCGAATTCACTTTACGACGAAATCTTCCATTGGTACACAGTTATCGAGAAATGCGATCTTGGAAAGCGTTCCTCCGCAAATTTTAAAGGGAAGCCGTGCGTTTCAATTTTTTTTTTTTTTATCTCGTTTAAGAGTAAATTTCCTCAGTGTCTCGTGAAGAATTTAATTCTTGGGATATTTTTATAAAATTTAAGCTTTCGTTACGTGATAAAAATCGAAGAAAGGTAGATCTTTAAAGGAATTTTCATTCGTATTATGAGAAATTTCGTTCAAGAAGAAGTTTCAACGAAGTACTTTATTTCTGGAACAATAGTATTTTCGTTGTATGATAAAAATAAGGAAGGAAAAATAGATACGTATTTTCCACGTATATCTGAAATCATCTATATTCGCAAGAGCAGTAGAATTTATTGATCTATAATGAAGAGCGCTCGATGCTTTATAACGCTCAAATTTACGACTCAAAAGAACGAATTCGCGGATTTATTTACAAATTCAAACATAAAAAAAAAAAAAGAACTGTATTAACCTTTCCACTCTCTTCATCAAAGTCGAGTTAAATCCACGGCACGCGATTTCCTCCAAAACTCTTGGCATTAAAATTCCACGGCCCGCCATTATTATTACCTAATAAATTCAACCCAAGTATCTCTAAATTCTCCGCGAAACATAAACTGTTATTTATAGACGTTAAAACCGAACGATCGAGGAGCAAGATTAAACATCGTTTTTTCATATAACGAATCGAAGGAGTTGGTTGAGCCCGCCATTGCTCGTCCATCGACTTCCGGATGGGGAATCCGGGGAATTCGAACGATCCGACGAAACTATGGGCCGAAGTTGGATCCCGCCGAAATTTCGGTCGCTGGCTTGCGGCTGGATGACTACAAAGTTATTTAATATTTTTGCTACGAACGCATGGGAAATTTATAGCTCACCGCCCTACCCGTTGCCTGGTATTTTCTTTCAGAAACAGCTTGTAAACTTGGAAATTTACATCGAGTCAAGAACGGGTCAAGAAAGTTATTTACGCGCTCTCGTGTTCATATTTGTTCGATGTTGACAAAAAGAGAAAGAGAGGTTCGAAAGCGAGAGAATTTAATTTCTTTGGAATTTTCTTTTTGGACTTGTTTTATCTCTGGCTCGATGGATGGAGAGGAAAGTGTCTTTTAGGTAATTCTGAGTGACTGGAATTTTTATTAATTTTATTCTTCTCGCGTCTTTCGAATTCTCAGAGAATTTTTATGAAATTATGTATACATTTTTTTTGTGAAAAGATTGAATTATTTTACTCTGCTTTAAGCGAAAAGTGTCTTTTTAAAATTCTAGCGATTCGGATTTTATCACTGTCTCCTTACGCTTTCACAATTTTAAAAAAAAAAAATTGTATTTGTCATTCGTTTCACGTCGTCGTCTCTCACAAATTCTGTTCGAAATAAATTTGATCGGAGTCTCGGCTATATTTTATGTTTCAAATATTTTTTTTTCTCTCTCTCTATTTGAAACGTAAATTTTCTTTTTTAACGAGTCTAACGAGACATGTCTAACGCGCCAAAGAAAAGTTTTTTTAATAAAGTCTTAATGAATGTTACCCGAGTTTCTTTTATAAAATGTCCCGGTAACCAGCGAACGTTGGAATTTAGTTCACCCGACGACCGTCTTTTTTTTTCGAAAAAGAAAATAATTAACACGGATAATTCAAAATTACTACAAAGAAACACAGTGTATGATGTAACTTTTAATTCAATGTAGAAGATAACAATAACTCGATCGTTTCGATTAATAACCCTTAATCGCCAAAACGAATCCCTCTTTCAAAAAGAAAAAGAAGAAGAAAGAGGAAGAGTTAAACGAAAAATTGCAAATACGGCGACAGAAGAAGAAAAGAATTTCAATCCCGGCAAAAGATTTTTCCCTCCGTTCATTTATCACGGAGAGAATTTCCCGTGACAAATGAATCGAATGATTCCGCCAACGATACAGGCGGAATGTTATTAAAAAAGAAAAAAAAAGAAGAAAAGGAAACGAGCGCGACCGAAGACGAGGAGGAAAGATGAAGGCGAGGGAAATAAAGAAGGGAAAAATATGCAACGTCGCGAGGGAATCGGCGAGAAGAAGAACTCTGGAGGGCGGAATTTCGCCATTTGTCATTCGAAAGAGCAATGCATACTTGCCAACCTTTCCGCCGGATCTATACCCCCCCCCCCCTCCTCCCAGATGAATCGTACGCTCCCGAAAGGATTGCCACGTGTTCCGCCTTCTCCTTCGTCGTGGAGACAAGCGGAGCTGTGAATAATCGTTGGTCCACGCGATTGTGACGTACACACACACATCCTCGTTTCCAACCTATTTCCCATTTCGATCGAGGCGAGGCGTTGCACGGCGTGTAATGGAGGGGGGAGGGAAGTAAAATTGTCGTCCTGATTGATCGGGGCCAGATTGTCGGGATTGATTAGGTCGATTGGTGTATAGATAGATTGGTGGACGGATCGTTGAGGAATTATTGAAAGGGCTGTTACACGATTGAAGTTTGGCGAGTAAATTTGACGAGTAATGATGTATCTTTGACGGGATTGTGGGTGTGCGTATATGTAAGGATCAAGTTACTACTAATATTGATGTTGTTTCATAGTGATGATACAAGTTCGATTAGAATCTTTGATCTTCCAATGATTTCTATCTCGTGGATGATTCTTTGTCTTTGAATGATCTCGAATGGTAATTATTCTGAGGCCATTGTAAATTTGAAAATTATTCTATGATACGTTGTCTTTGTGGATCAAATCATGAATGTTGACATAGTCTTATTGAATGATGATCTTTGAATGATCTTGAATGGTAATCACTCTGTGGTTACTGTAAATTTGAAAATTATTCTATGATACGTTGTCTTTGTGGATCAAATCATGAATGTTGACATAGTTGATAATTTCATATTAATAAGTTCAATTAGATCTTCCAATGATTTCTATTTCGTGATCTCGAGGATGATTCTTTGAATGATCTTGAATGGTAATTATTCTGAGGCCATTGTAAATTTGAAAATTATTCTATGATACATGTCTTTGTGGATCAAATCATGAATGTTGACGTAGTTTTATTGAATGATTCTTTGTCTTCGAATGATCTTGAATGGTAATCACTCTGGTGGTTAAATTTGAGAATTATTCTATAATACGTCTTTGTGGATCAAATCATGAATGTTGATATAGTTTTATCGATAAGTTCAATTAAAGTTCAATGATTTCTATTTCGTGATCTCTTGGATGATTCTTTAAATAATCCTGAATGATAATTATTCTGTGGCCAATGTAAACTTGAAATATGTTTCCACGATGTGTCTTTATGGATCAAATCATGAATGTTGACATGATTTTCTAATAACGATATCCAACTTCAATAACGACTTTTAATCTTCGAATGATTACGATTCTCTATCTTGATCCTTGATAATTATTCTTGGTCTTTGAAATTCGTAATAATATATCTCGAATGATACGTAATCATACCATTACGTATAGCCAATGTAAATTTTAGACTGAAATCTAATAACGATGTGATTTATGTGACTTTAATTTATAACTTTAATTTATGTGACGATCCTCCAAATAATCTTGAACTTGGACAGATCAACTATCCTCGGATTTTAAATTATTTTGGATAGATGATATAATTTCAATTTTCTTGTATCAACGTTCAGATGACCGTGAACCGCGCTACGATATAATCGATTTCCATTTGCCCCTGTCATTGGATAACTTGTTCACAGGGATGTTTTATCGGGAAACTGGATTATTAGGTCGTCCAATGACAATTTTTTTCTCGATTTTCTTTTTGCAATTGTTAAATAATTTCAAAAAAAGTGTCAAATAAATAAACTCGCTTTTTAATAGAATACATTTCATTTGTTTGAAATTTTATTTTTTTTTTTAAATTACACCATGGATACATTATTTATTAATTAAATAATCATTGTAATACAAAATTTAAATAATTTTTACATTTCTCCTATAAAGAACTCCTATAAAGAAAAATGGAACGATCCGAATGATTCTGATATCACAGGATGTTCGTCTCGATCCATCTTTGAGAACTAGGGCGTTCTATATATACGAATTCAATCAGAAGCATTGAAATTCAGTCGTATAGAATATGCGAGAGAATGGTTAGATTCCATACTTTCTTATTAATAAATCCACTTTAAAGTAACTATTTCGCAATATTTATAACCGATTTATATAACCGACAAATACATTTCTCTTTTCTTTTTCTTTTCTTTTCCAGTGGAGAAGGGGGTCCTAGACCAAAGCAGCGAGAACCAGCAGGTGATCGAGAGGTGTTACCCTCTTCCGCCTCAGAACACGTTGATGCTGTCGGAACTTCCGGAACCGCCGATTCCGCTCAGCGAGATCGGCCCGATTCCACCCCCTCCGATGTTCAGCTCCTCGAGTCCAACCCTCTTGTTGGCCAAGCAACGGCAAATAAGAAACCCTTTGTCGTCCGACTACGAGGACGAAGGTGCGTCAATTCGTCGAATACTTCTGTTGAATCTATTCGATCCATCGTTTCGATCCTTCTAATCTTTTTGTAATAAACGCTCAAAACTTCGATATGGAGAAACTTTAAATTAAATTAAATCTTGCCTGTTCCTGCAACGATTCTGAAAAATCGACCCGATTCGACCACCTATAAACGCACATGTAAAAGCAATACTCGGATGTCGTAAAATCGATCGTGTACCGAGGTCTATTTGTAGTATTTCGAGAGTCGAAACTACCAGCAATTTGAAACGTTTAATTTACGATGCCGATTCGAAGTTTGCTTATCTCTTTATGGTATCTTTTTTTCAAATTTTTCTACAATCTTTTTTTTTTAATCTATATCTTATAGAATTTCGAGGTTTTGATCAAAATTGTAAATATTTTTTTTAAATACACTTTGTTCCGTTGGTCAAAATAAAAATAATTTCTCACGATTATTCCTTCTTTCATAGAAGAGAGAAAAGGATTAGGAGATTTGATCGATTCGAAATTTTCTTATCGATTATTATTAGAAAAATTATACTTCGAATATTTTACAATTCATTTCTCGTCTCGTTAAAATATTTCAATTTTCCTATTCTTTCTCCTCTCTGCCTCTCAGAAGACGAAGAGGACTTCGACGTGGAGGAGGAGGACAACATGTACGTGCCGAGGATGTCGCAGCCTGATCCGAGCATCGACACGTCCAGGGTGGAGGAGATCCCCGCGAAGGAGCCTAAGTTTCACGCGGTCCCTTTGAAGAGCGTTCTGAAGAAGAGGGGTTCCGGAAGTGGGCCTGGCACGCCCCAGAACACGCCCACGCAGGAGAACAGGCCGTTGACCCTTCGTCAGGAGCTGCACGCCTCCTTCAAGTTAGTTCGCGACCAAACAACCGATTTCTTCGACGAGCCACGACCAACTTTCTTTCGCGCATCGCGTCTTTTCTTCTCGAAAGACTCGTTGGAGGGGGGGAAGGGGGGAAGGGGGGGGGGAATAAAAGAAAAAGAAATCTTAATTTCAACCGAAATCGAAAGGCTGTAAGAAAAAAATTGTAATTTGTTGAAACGATTCGACGAGTCCACGAGTCTTTCTCTCGTTCAAGCGCGAGAAGAGTCTCTTCGTCGCGAAGAGAAACGAGCCTTCTTCGTAGAGGTTGCAAGGCGTCGATAATAAAATGTCTTCCTTTCAATTGTGATATCTCGTTGGGGGCGGATACCTCGAAAGGTATTCAAGGGGACGGTCTCTTCGAGGGGATGAAAGGTTCGACTGGAATTGGAGGATTGTTCGAGAATTGTTAATTAGAACGAGGTGGATTTTAATGAAAAAGCGCCTTGAGACCGGTGGAGAAAGCTCGTCTTGGAACATCGTTCTTCACCGTTCTTCCACCCTTGTCATCTCTCTCACGCGCACCCTGCATATTCTTCTCCCTCTTTCTCCCATCCTTTTCATTCGTCGTCCAAAGATGGACGCACGTGCTCCTTTTAATTTATCAAATTACCACGTTTCTCGTAATTTCGATTCGATTTTTGGCGTTTCGCATTCGATCTCTCATTTTTCTTTCGTTCGTCCCTTTTTTGAGAAATTTAAATCTTTACTTTAGAAGAGAACTATTCTATATAAAATTATTCAGAAGGAACAGATACTTTCTTAAATTGTTTATGGTTTTATATAATTTTTTTTTCCAAATTATCAGTAAATTCGATATATCGTATCGTTTTCAAAAGTACGAAATAATAGGAAACTTATCTCGATGAATTTGTTTAAATACACTGCATTTAAACCAAGAAAAAAAAACTATTTTACGTTTTCTACAAATATTTCTACAAATTAAGATAATCAAAATAATTTATTATCTCAAACATTTGAACTAAAAATCTCTAACTTATATTCTTATATATAGCGTATCAATAAAAGAACACTGTAAATAGATATTCATTCGTAAACACAAATCCCTTTACGAGGCAACGTATCGCTCGATAACAAGTCGAAGCCACTAAATCCATAAATAAGAGAAGAGTGTTCCCTTTTGATCATTCTGTAAAGCAATCGTTCGATTCGAAAGTTGAATCGAAGGGATCGAGAACGATGCTCCTGTGTGAGGCGAATCCCACGAAGGGGGTAGCTTCGCGCATTCATCCAATTT